GGTTTATATCAGGGCTCTCTAGTCTGTTCCATTGGTCTATGGGTCTGTTCTTGTGCCAGTACCAAATTGTCTGTGGCTTTGTAGTAGAGCTTGAAGTTGGGAAGCATAATCCCCCCTGCTTTATTCTTCCTTCTCAGGATTCCATTGGATATTTGGGATCTTTTGTGGTTCCATATGAATTTTAGAACTATTTGCTCTAGTTTGTTGAAGATTGCTGTTGGTATTTTGATAGGGATTGCAATGAATCTGTAGATTGCTTTAGGCAGGATGGCCATTTTGACAATATTAATTCTTCCTATCACGAGCACGGGATGTGTTCCCATTTATTGTTATCTTCTTTAATTTCTCTCATGAGTGTCTTGTAGTTTTCAGAGTATAGGTTTTTCACTTCCTTGGTTAGGTTTATTCCTAGGTAAATTATTCTTTTTGATGCAATTGTGAATGGAATTGTTTTCCTGATTTCTCTTTCTGCTAGTTCATCATTAGTGTATAGGAATGCAACAGATTTCTGTGTATTAATTTTGTATCCTACAACTTTGCTGATTTCAGATATTAGATCTAGTAGTTTTGGAGTGGATTCTTTAGGGTTTTTAATGTACAATATCATCATCATGTCATCTGTAAACAGGGACAGTTTGACTTCTTCCTTGCCAATCTGGATGCCTTTTATTTCTTTGTGTTGTCCAATTGCCATGGCTAGGACCTCCAGAACTATGTTGAATAGAAGTGGGGAGAGCAGGCATTCCTGTCTTGTTCCCAACCCTAAAAGAAAAGCTTTCAGCTTCTTGCTGTTAAGTGTAATGTTGGCTGTGGGTTTGTCATATATGACCTTTATTATGTTGTGGTACTTGCCCTCTATATCCATTTTGTTGAGAGTTTTTATCCTGAATGGATGCTGAATTTTGTCAAATGTTTTTTCAGCATCTATGGAGATGATCATGTGGTTTCTGTCCTTCTTTTTGTTGATGTGGTGGTTGATGTTGATGGATTTTCAAATATTGTACCATCCTTGCATCCCTGGAATAAATCCTACTTGATCATGATGGATGATCTTTTTGATGTATTTTTGAATTTGGTTTGCTAATATTTTGTTGAGCATTTTTACATATATGTTCATCAGTGATATTGGTCTGTAATTTTCTTTTTTTGCGGTGTCTTTGCCTGGTTTTGGTATTAGAGTGATGCTGGCCTCATAGAATGAGTTTGGAAGTGTTTCCTCCTCTTCAACTTTTTAGAAAACTTTAAGGAGGATGGGTATTAGGTCTTCACTAAATGTTTGATAAAATTTAGCATTGAAACCATCTGTTCCAGGAATTTTGTTCTTGGGTAGTTTTTTGATTACCAATTCAATTTCCTTGCTGGTAATTGGTCCATTCAGATTTTCTGTTTCTTCCATCATCAGCCTTAGATAGTTGTATTTTTCTAAAAAGTTGTCCATTCTATGTTATCCAGTTTGTTAGCATATAATTTTTCATACTATTCTCTAATAATTCTTTATATTTCTGTTATCCATAGTGATTTTTACTTCTCATTTCTGATTCTGTTTATGTGTGTAGACTCTCTTTTTTTCTTGATAAGTCTGGTTAGTGGTTTATCTATTTTGTTTATTTTCTTGAAGAACCACTGCCTGCTTTCATTGATTCTATTGGTTTATTCTTCTCGATTTTATTTATTTCTTCTTAATCTTTATGTCCCTCCTTCTACTGTTCTTTTTCTAGTTTCTTTAATTGTGAGATTAGACTGTTCATTTGGGATTGTTCTTTTTTCCTGAGGTAGGCCTGTATTGCAGTATCTTCCCTCTTAGCACAGCCTTTGGTGCATCCCACAGATTTTGTAGTGTTGAATTATTGTTGTCACTTGTCTCCATATATTGCTTGAACTCTGTTTTTATTTGGTCAGTGATCCATTGATTATTTAGAAACATTTTATTAAGCCTCCATGTGTTTGTGGGCTTTTTCATTTCTTGACATAATTTATTTCTAGTTTCATACTTTTGTGATCTGAGAAGCTGGTTGGTACAATTTCAATCTTTTTGAATTTACTAAGGCTTTTTTTGTGGCCTAGTATGTGATTTGTTCTTGAAAATGTTCCCTGTGCACTTGATAAGAATGTGTATCCTGTTGCTTTTGGATGGAGTGTTCTGTAGATGTCCGTTAGGTCCATCTGTTCTAATATGTTGTTCAGTGCCTCTGTCTCCTTACATTTTCTGTCTGGTTGAGTGAGTGGTGTGTTGAAGTCTCCTAAAGTAAATGTATTGCATTCTATTTACCCCTTAAATTCTGTTAGTATTTGTTTCACATATGTAGGCAATCCTATGTTGGGTGCATAGGTATTTATAATAGTTAAGGCCTCTTGTTGGACTGACTCCCTTATCATTATTTAATGCCCTTGTTTGTCTCTTGTTACTTTCTTTGTTCTGATGTCTATTTTGTCTGATACAAGTACTGCAACTCCTGATTTTTTCTCCCTATTAGTTGCATGAAATATCTTTTTCCATCCCTTTTCTTTCAGTCTGTGTATGTCTTTGGGTTTGAAGTCTCTTGTAGGCAGCATATAGACAGGTCTTTTTTTTTTATACATTCAGTGACTCTATGTCTTTTTAATGGTCATTCAGACCACTTACATTTAGGATGAGTATCAATAGGTATGTACTTATTGCCATTGCAGGCTTTAGATTCATGGTTACCAACGGTTCCAGGGTAGTTTCCTTACTATATGAGAGTCTAAGTCACTTAGTATGCTATTACAAACACAACCTAAAGGTTCTTTTACTTTTCATCCTTTTTCTTCATCCTCCATTCTTTATATGTTAGGTATCATATTTTGTACTCTTTGTCTATCTTTTGATTGACTTTGGGGGTCATTGATTTGATTTTACATCTTCTTAGTAATTAATTGTTCTACTTTCTTTGCTGTGGTTTTATTTCCCCTGGGACAGCTCTTTAGCCTTAGGAATACTTCCATCTATAGCAGTCCCTCCAAAGTGCACTGTAGAGGTGGTTTGTGGAAGGTAAATTCTCTCAGCTTTTGCTTATCTGATAATTGTTTAATCCTTCTTTCAAATTTAAATGATAATCTTGCTGGGTGTAGTATTCTTGGTTTGAGACCCTTCTGCTTCATTGCATTAAATATATCATGGCAGTCCCTTCTGGCCTGTAAGGTTTCTGTTAAGAAGTCTGATGGTAGCCTGATGGGTTATCCTTTGTATGTGATCTTTTTTCTCTCTCTAACTGCTTTAAAAAGTCTGTCCTTATTCTTGATCTTTGCCATTTTAATTATTATATGTCTTGATCATATGTTATCTTCCTTGGGTCCCTTGTGTTGGGAGTTCTGTGCACCTCCAGGGCCTGAAAGACTATCTCCTTCCCAATCTTGGGGAAGTTTTCAGCAATTAATGCCTCAAAGGCACTTTCTATCCCTTTTTCTCTCTCTTCTTCTTGTGGTACCCCTATAATGTGAATATTGTTCCATTTGGATTGGTCACACAGTTCTCTCAATATTTTCATTATTAGAAATCCTTTTTCTCTCTCTGTGCCTCAGCTTCTTTGTATTCCTCTTCTCTAATTTCTATTCCATTTACTGTCTCTTCTACTACATCTAATCTTTTAAATCTCTTCACTGTATGTATCATTTCAGATATGGAATTTCTTAATGACTTAATCTCTGTCCTAAATTCATCCCTGAGTTCTTGAATATTTTTCTGTACCTCCATGAGCATGTTTACAATTTTTATTTTAAACTCTCTTTCAGGAAGATCGGTGAGTTCAGTTTCATTAGGCACTTTGGTGTTTGCGAGATTTTTGTTTGAACCAGGTTCCTTTGACATTTCATATTTGTATGTGTCTCCCTCTAGTGCCCAGAAGCTCTAGTCTCTAGAGCTGCTCAGCCCCTGGAGTGTTGTTTTGGGTTGCAGGGGGTTGGCACTGGTGCCTAAGGGGAGGAAAGAGCTTGTTTCCTGCTTCCCAGCTGCAGTGCCTGTCTCCACTGTCAGAACCAGTGGGCCATCACTTTGTGTAAGCCTCTGTGCTTTGTGTCTGCAGTTGCTATAGGTGGGGCCTCCCTCTGGCTGGCCTGACACCAGGGCAGGGAGTGTCAGTTTGCCAGCTGATGCCAGCAGGCCAGTAGGAAGGTGCAGCAGGCTGCATATCACAGTGTGGGGGGGGACTCAGAGCTGAGAAGCCAGCCAGGAGGATGGAGCACCTGAAGCTCCTGAAAGATCCCAAACTACTGGGCAGAGCACTCCCAAACAACCTTGTCCACCTATCCCTTCTCCTGCGCAGCAAGCTCCATGCAAACCCTGCCCCTTCAGCAGCCCTCTCGCTGCTAGGAAGCCTCTCAGACTACCCACCTTTCCTTTTACCCAGAGCAGCCACATGTGGATCCATATCCTCCATATACATCTGAAATCTAAGTTTTTCCAAGTATTCCGCATGTCTTAGCTTTCCAACCCCACTAATCTCCAGGGCACCATGCATTGTAGGTTTGTTCTCCCATAGCAGGTCTCCAGGGCTGGTTGTTCAGAGGTCCTAGACTTCCACCACCCCGCCCCTGCTCCATTTCTCTTCCTACCATGGTGAGCTGGGGTCGGGGAAGGGCTTGTGTCCCACCAGATCAAGGCTTGGTACATTACCCTGTTTCGTGAGGTCTGCTCTGCTCCAGATGTATGCAGTCTGGTGTAGTCTTCTTTCCTGTTGGTCTTTTAGGATTAGTTGTATTAACTATATTTTCATAATATATGTGGATTTGGGAGGAGTTGTCTGTCTCACCTCTCATGCCGCCATCTTGAATCCCACTTAATTTACATTCTATAAATAAAATAGGTATAATGAAATCAGTAACATATAAGAAGGAAGTATATAAGTTGATTTGTGCTTTTAAATATGTAGTAATATATTTTTTCTGATTTTCAAACTTTTATGTATAACTATTGGGAATAGAGTAATTTTATTTGGTTTATAATATAATCTTTGTTTAATAATATTCTCTAAAATATTTTTCAGAGAAATATTTCAAAATTCTGAATTTAAAGCCACTGATGAGAGATGGAAGCAAAGACTTTCAAAGGCAAAGACTGAATCTGGTTCTCACTGTGTTTTTATTTCTCAAAATTTTCATGCTGGAAAATTCCAGTCACAGGTAGAGTGGAATACTTTATAGCAATCTTTTCAAGTAATTTCTTTTGCCACCATGTCACTACCATTGTTGTTTTTTAATTTGAACGAGGATCCACTGTTATTTTTTAACTTGAGGGACAATAACATGGAGCTAAATTTAATTACCCCACTAATTAGAGTTTATATTAAAGGAAACTGAAAAACAGAATGAAAATGTATCCTTCTACATTTGCTTCTCTGTATCTCTAGATCTACCTCCCCCATATTGGGATTGTAATAGGAATGAAAATAAATGGCTTAACAAAAACAGTAAAATTCCTAGGCCATCAGAGGAAAGAGCTTTGAATATAAGAGGATTCTCAGCCAAATAACCTAACCAAACCAACTAACTGAAATATAATTTAACAAGGATTTATTAAGTCTTCATTATATTCTGAGCTTTGTCCTCCTCCCTCAACCTGCAGAAAAGATTCGAACCCAACCTTGGAGGTGTTCATTTAGTACAAGTGGAAAGACACACAATTTTCTGTTGTGTGGTATCAAAACAGTGTTGTATGGACAAAGTAAAACAAGGGAGAGACTACTAGAAATTTTAAACTATGACATAACTAAACAAAACAAATTTTAGAATATTTTAATAGTCATATAATTAATAGTGACAAATTGATAGGATGTCAAAATTTCATCATACATCTTGAATATTGAACTCAAGTTGAACTCAGTGCTCATTTGTTTAACATTTTTTTTGGGTGCCTTAAATTTGGCAACACTAGTTTTGGCATTGAGGCTCATTAACAGATAAGATAGGAGTCCAGACATAGATGAGCCCAAAGTTAGTAGAGAAGAAAAGCATATCAACTAAAAAATATAACATAATGTGATAAAAGCCACAAAATTGAAGAAATGCAGACAAAGGAGCACAAATTAAAGAAGGTTTCACAAAGAAGGCATTTATAGCCGGGTTTTGAGAAATGAAAAGAAGTGTGCCAAGAGGAAAGAGAACTGAGTACTTTCTATGTTCAAAGTCTTGCAACTATGAAATGCAGTATCATATTTAGTAAAAATGTAATGGTTGGAGCCAAAGGTTCATACATGGAAGTGGTGGAAAAATTTCTGGGTGTGAGATTGTGAGGACCCTCATTTGCAGGCTAAGGATTTTGGATTTTAACCCACAGGTCATACAGATCCACTGTGAGCATTATGGAATTATGGCCAAGAGCATGGACTGTAGAGACAGATTACTCAGGCTAGAATTCTGGCTCTACCATTGCTAGCTATGCATTCGTAGGCAATCCTAGGCGAGTTACTTAACTTCTCTGTGCCTGTTTCCTCATCTGCAAATTGAAGATGATTTCATCTCTATAGAATTATTATTGGAAGTAAATGTATTAGTATGTTAAAAGCACTCAAAACAGTGTCTGGCTAGATAGTGAGCACCATACAAATATACTATTATGATAACTGAATTTTTTAAGCAGGTAGGTTTAATAATCAAATTAATTCTGAAGATTATTAGTTTTGACTTTTAAAGGAAGGATAGTTTGAAATAAGAGATTGCATTACAGAGGGAAAAATTTTTTTTATGTATGCATTCAATATGAATTGAATTTACCCATAATATACCAGGCTTTTTGCTAGATACTATTGCTATAATGATATCTTCATATGTAATTGTAGAAACAGACAAATGGACAATAACAAAAATGTTATGAGTGCTGTGATGGAAGAAGTACATATAAAAGAGTACTATATTTTACTTAGGTTGCTTATTATTCACTCAACAAACATGGAATAAGCACTATGTGCCAGGCACTGTTATAGGCAACTGGAAATCTGACAATGAACAAGGGAGACAAGAGTCCCTGCTCCCAAGAGATTTATAGTCTAGTTGGAGAGACAAACAATGTACATAGTAACACAATATTATTCAGGCTTCTTGATTAGGTAGGAAGTGATAGGAACCTAATTCAGAAGAAAAGTATAAAATATAGCATTGAATGGCAGTAAGTACATACCTTTCAATAATCACCCTAAATGTAAATGGACTGAATGCACCAATGAAAACACACAGAGTAATAGAATGGATAAAAAAGCAAGACCCATCCAAATGCTGCTTACAAGAGACTCACCTCAAACCCAAAGACATACACAGACTTAAAGTCAAGGGATGGCAAAAGATAATTCATGCAAACAACAGAGAGAAAAAAGCAGGTGAGGCAATACTAGTATCAGACAAAACAGACTTCAAAATAAAGAAAGTAACAAAAGATAAAGAAGGACATTACAAAATGATAAAGGGCTCAGTCCAACAAGAGGATATAACCATTATAAATATATATGTACCCAATACAGGAGCACCAGCATATGTGAAACAAATACTAACAGAATTAAAGGAGGAAATAGAATGCAATGCATTCATTCTGGGAGACTTCAACAAACCACTCACTCCAAAGGACAGATCCACCAGACAGAAAATAAGTAAGGACACAGAGGCACTGAACAACACACTAGAACAGATGGACCTAATAGACATCTACAGAACTCTACATCCAAAAGCAACAGGATACACATTCTTCTCAAGTGTACATGGAACATTCTCCAGAATGGACCACATACTAGGCCACAAAAAGAGCCTCAGTAAATTCCAAAAGATTGAAATCCTACCAACCAACTTTTCAGACCACAAAGGCATAGAACTAGAAATAAATTGTACAAAGAAAGCAAAAAGGCTCAAAAACACATGAAGGCTTAACAACACGCTCCTAAATAATCAATGGATCAATGACCGAATCAAAATGGAGATCCAGCAATATATGGAAACAAATGACAACAATAACACAAAGCCCCAACTACTGTGGGATACAGTAAAAGCAGTCTTAAGAGAAAAGTATATAGCAATCCAGGCATATTTAAAGAAGGAAGAACAATCCCAAATGAATGGTCTAATGTCACAATTATAGAAATTGGAAAAAGAAGAACAAATGAGGCCTAAGGTCAGCAGAAGGAGGGACATAATAAAGATCAGAGAAGAAATAAATAAAATTGAGAAGAATAAAACAATAGCAAAAATCAATGAAACCAAGAGCTGGTTCTTCGAGAAAATAAACAAAATAGACAAGCCTCTAGCCAGACTTATTAAGAGGAAAAGAGAG